GGAGATGGGGCTCCTCTCTGGAGAGCCCCACCGCTCCGGGAAGGCGGGCAGGGCAGGCCTCAGCGGGCATCCGCATCTCACGCCACACTGCAAGCCCAGGGGCCCCCAGAGTGCAGCCACGAACGCCAGGGGCGCACCTCCCCGGGGTGACCTCCCCGGGGCAGCTTTCTGGGACAAGGGCCTGAAACTCAACACAACATCGTGGGAATTCCCGCCCCAGACCTGTGAGCCACGCCGCACAAGGATGGACGGCCCCGGGGTGTGGGGGCCGCGACGAGCGCCCACAAGAGGCGCCTCTCAGTTCACGGCAGTCTGTCTCTCAAAGACCCAGGTCAGGGAAGGCGCACAGTCAGCACCCAGGCCGACGGCAGATCCGGCGGAAACGGGTGTCCCGCCCTGGCAGGCCCCACGCCGCTCCACAGCCCTTCACGAGGGTTGTGACTGGTCCCGCCCCGACCTGGGGAGCTCGGGTCAGCGGCAGCACCTTGCTCCGATTTGTGCGCCTCCCACGAGGTCTCAGGGAACTGCGCCACCCGTGGGGTTTCGGGGAAGCCCGCGCAGCTTCCCTCAGCAGCTGGCAGAGGAGAGCGCACCCCTCCGGCTCTCAGGGGCCGGCCCCCGTCAGAGACTCGGCCACCGGGTGGGCCGGGTGGACATCTGCCGCCTTGAGCTTTCCAGAGGGCGCGTGAGCCCGGCAAGCCGTCTGGTAAACCTGGCCGGCCGGCTGCGGTCCCGGCTCCCGGTCTAACTCGTGTCACGTCGGGGCCCGAATCCTGTATCTTTCACCCGGCTTATTGCGTCCTCCCCTCTGACACGGGGTCAGGGTTCACATTCGCATCCGATTATCAGCGCGCACTCATTAAGAGGGGGCCTGCCGGCCCCCCCACCCAGGAAGCCGGAGAGAAGGCTCGGCCCATTTCCTCGGCAGATCTGAGCCTGTTAAAAGCCTGAATGTCACCGAGCACCGGCCCTGCGCTGGAGTTTCAGACATCCCCAGCTGATGATTAATTGTGAGTGATGGGAAATAAAATCCAGTAAAGCCAGCTGCTTGCCGTGGTCGGCAAAATGACGCTAATGCATGGCGGCTGCCAATTTTCCAGTTTTACTGGCAAGTCTTCCAAGTGTAATTAAGGGAAGTTATAAATGATATGGAAATCTATCAAGTTCCATTTATTTTCTGAGGACCCTGTCCCCAGGGGCTTTTATCTTCAAGCTTATAGTGTGCTTTGTTGTGCTAATGATTTAAGCCACTTCTTATTTCTGATTAAAGCCCCCAATATCCTTCTACCAAGTTCGCTTCCCTCCTCCCCCGAGATGAAAAGACGCAGAGCCCCCTCTCACACGCGGCCCCCCTCGGAGCGGGCGAGGACGGGGCACACTTGGCAACTTGTATCATTCCAACTGCACACGCACCAAGGAAGCGCAGAGGAAAGTGCTGGGAGGGAAAAAAAAAAGGGTGTGTGTGTGGGGGGGGGGAGTCCTCCACGGACATAAAAGGAAACCCCCAAAAGTCCGGGCTGGAAAGCTGTGCTCGATCGCAGACACTCATCCGAAGGGGTGCAGCTCGCTAATGTTATTTGATTTGGAATAAAAGCATGAAAATGATGGCAAAGGCCTAAAATTGGAGATGTGCAGGCTGACTGCACAGTAGCCGTCTCGCAATTTCATCCTTCAGAGCCACAAAATGGGGGCGATACAGTGACGGGATGAGATTTACAGTAACAGCTGCGGTCTTTCCCACACGAGGGAGGCCCTTCTAATGGGCCCAGGTCTGTCTGGAACAGACGGGGAGCGAAACCGGGTCCCTCTTAAGAGGCTGCGTCGCACTTCTGACCCAGAACAGGCGGACGGGCGTCCGGGCTCCTTGAAGACGCCCCGACCCGCTTCTGGGGTCCGAACGCAGGGCTGTGGCGAGGTGCTACCCTTGCGAGGGCGGGCGGCGGCCGGCGGGCGGGCTGCTCCCCCCGCCCCCAGCCTCCTCTCCAGCAACTGTACGGGATGCCTAGAAACGGTGCCAGTGGCATATGGCTTTCTACTGCGCTCAACATTCATACAGAAGACAGGTTCATCAGTCACTGGAGTATCTGGATAAAAAATGAGCTCCTGATGGATGGTATTTTGAGCTTACCTGCTGCTAGGACATTACCAGAGAAATACAGGTTCTGAAACCCACATGACATCAGAAACTGCGGACCATGAAACACGACACGTGCAGGCGCCCACAATGCGCGCCAGATCATGCAAAATAATAAATAAGCTACTTAAGCCCTCCGCCTAAAATCGGGCCGCTGCAAGGAACCCTGGCTCGCTTCTACGCAGCCGATTAATGCACAGCGTCTGCTGCAGAGAAGCAGGGCGTGAAGCACTTCGGAATGATTTCGGCAATTAAAAGAAAACTGTTTCCTGCCTGTTCAGACAGCAACTGTTTCAATGCAAGAGTGAGCACCAAATGCACTGTGTGCAGCTGAAACATTAAGCCCCCTTTTTGGGGAAGTGGGGTGGGTGGGAGGAAGAACCTTTATGGAAAAGGAGTCTTCTTTTGTCGT